CCCGGGGTTGCCCGGTGTGGGCTTCCGGTCCTGGAATGCTGTTTCCCTCTGGCACTCCTGACAGAGCCTAGACATCTGGAAAGCCCAGTTGCAGCCCAGCTCCCTCATTCTGTGTTCTGCCCCCCAACCCCCCTGCTCCCATCATGGTGTTGCACATTGGGTTAACTGTTGACTCAGCACCCGGCCAACTGTGAGTACTTGAGGACAGGAACTTTGTCTCCTCCAGTTTTGGGCTCAGAGTCTGGCAGTGGAAGGATGGATGGTCTCATCCACCCGTTGATCTCATGTGGCCGGCAATCCATCCACCCTGCTCATCCCGAACCTGCGCTGCCAGAGATGTGGCCTGCATTCACTCAGGATGCCTCTTCCTCTCCCTTCCTGGCAGGAGTTCCCCTTGGCCGTCCTCAGGGGCTGGGAGTGCTACTGTGCTTACCCCACCCCCCAGTTCAGCCTGCGGGATGCTGTGGACAGCACGCTGTGTGGCCAGGACCCCGAGACGCAGAGGCTGGCGGAGTACTGTGAGGTCTACCAGACACCTGTGCAAGGTGAGCTCTGCACCCACCACTGGCTGTGGCAATTGGTGTGAGGTTTGGAGAGAGCTTCAAGAGTTTGGAAATACCAATCATGGCTGAGTGTGCCATCCTGAGGTGGGGTGGGGTGAGTGTGTGTAAAAGATACTGGCATCTTTATGGGTGGTGGAGGCAATGGGAAAGGTGAGGCCTCACCTCCCTGGAGGCTGAATGCTGGACTCACTTTAAAGAATATCTGGCCCTTTATCTGAGTCCCTGGGGATGGTGGTGGTGATAAGTGAAGAAGGGGAAGAGCAGAGAGAGGAAGGGCCCAGAGGAAAAGCAGTGGCAAGGTGGTAGGCTGAGAAATCTGGGAAGAAAGGAGCCCAGAGGCCAAAGGGACCTCTAGTGTCCAGGGCCTGGCCCTGTTCCTTGGCATGAGTATCAGGTCTGCCCCAGCTAGCGTAGGAACTGACAGGGGAAAAGTAGGCGAGGAAGGGCCTTTCTACCTTCATCAGAAAGAAGCCTGCCATGACCCTGGTACTTTGGGACTTTCTCCTGATAGTTTCCTGTGCTGCATGCAGCAGCCCCAGGGAAGAACGAGGACACTTGGAGAGTTACTTGCCTGCCATTAGTCCAGCCTAGTGAGTTGCAGCTGCACCTGGGTGTGCGGCATTGTGCAGCCCAGCCACAACCCCACCCACCTCCCCTGTCAGAGCCTGGAGCTGTCTGTGCTGTGCTGACAGCCAGGGTTTGCTGTGGCCTCAGGGCCTGATTCCCACCTACCCCTGGACTGGAGTGTGGGAGGCCTTGTCTCAGCTCTTTGTCTAGACAGACCTGTGAAGCCGGGGTACAGGGGGCACATCCTTTCTCCTTTTGGGCCTCTTTTTTCCCGCCCGTTATATGGGAGTCTTGGGTCATCAGGCTGTCTAGAGGACTCCAGCAGTGAATCTGTGAGTCACAGTGGTGGTGAGTCACCCGTGATGTCTTCTGGATTTTCAGACACTCGATGCACAGACAGGAGGTTCCTGCCCACCAAATCCAAAGTATTTGTGGCTTTGTCAAGCTTCCCAGGAGCTGGGAACACGTGGGCGAGGCACCTCATCGAGCACGCTACAGGCTTCTACACAGGGAGCTACTACTTTGATGGAACCCTCTACAACAAAGGTAAGTAAGAGCTACAGAGGAGGCTGAAGGCAGATCCTACTTTGCCAGCTGAGCTCCTGGGAGCTAGTACAGTGCTTCTCAAACTTCAGTGTGCATAGAATCATCTGAAGGCTTGTGAAAACAGATTCCTGGATTGTACCCTCCAGAGAGTCTTGTTCAACTGTTTTGAAGAGGGGCCTAGAGATTTGCATTTCTAGCACACTCCCAAGTGATTCTGGTGCAGACAGCCCCAGGACCACCCTTTGAGAGGGACTTGATTAGCTAGTGCCTCTTCTGGGTTCAAAGGGAAATAGTAGTAGCTTGGATTTCACCCTAATAAACATTTCTTGAATTTTCTCCATCTTTTAGAACCCACAATAAGTAGGGGTGAATCTGATTACTCTACTCATTCCCTTTTTTCTAAATTTGTTTCATTTCCTTCATTTCCATGAGCAAGAAAGAGACAGAACCCCCACTAGGAGCTCCCCCCAAGCCTTAGCTAGCCCCACATAGCGTGTGCTTGTGTGCCTGGCGTGTTCAGGGAGACCTTTGTGTTTGATCACGGGCAAGCATGTTCCAGGCATCCTCAGGGAAGTCTCTGGATGCAAACATGGGACTTTCTCATTTGGATCAGCCTCACAGAGCGTTGTATTACTGCTGTACCACTGACCAGCCCCTCTTCCATCCCCGCCCCTCCCCTTTTCTTTGAGACAAAAAATAGTTCATCAAAATAGGTCCAAAAATCTTCAAGAGTTTCATGATGTCTAATCTTTGCCTGGTAGAAATAAGAGGCCTCATTATGCCAAGTACATTAACTTAAATGACTCAAGTCTGTGTGCTGTTTGAGAATGAAGAATCCCAGACAAGTCAAGTGGCATCTAAATTTGGCAAAATGTATTCCTCTTTTGTCAAGTGTTACAACATTTTTCTCTGGGTTCCTTAACAAGAGTTTAGTTTAGGAAAAGATGACGCTATCAGTAACATCATAGAGAAAGAGAAACTTCCTGAGCACGGCAGTGAGTTTTGGGATCAGTCATAACCACCTTAGTCTGGTTGGGGAAAAACCAAGTTGTTTGTCCATGTAACCATCTCCATCTTCCTTGGAAATCTTGAGTGCCATGGGCACTTTCAGGTGAGGGAAAAATTGACCAGATAAGCACATGGTCCTGCTCGTTCTGTTCTTGTCCTCTCAGAATCACCCAGTGTGCCCAGGCTGTAGTTATCTAGAAGGCCTTTACCTTATTTATTTATTTATTTATTTATTTATTTATTTATTTATTTATTTATTTATTTATTTATTTATTTATTTATTTATTTATTTATTTATTTATTTATTTATTTATTTATTTATTTATTTATTTATTTATTTATTTATTTATTTATTTATTTATTTATTTATTTATTTATTTATTTATTTATTTATTTATTTATTTATTTATTTATTTATTTATTTATTTATTTATTTATTTATTTATTTATTTATTTATTTATTTATTTATTTATTTATTTATTTATTTATTTATTTATTTATTTATTTATTTATTTATTTATTTATTTATTTATTTATTTATTTATTTATTTATTTATTTATTTATTTATTTATTTATTTATTTATTTATTTATTTATTTATTTATTTATTTATTTATTTATTTATTTATTTATTTATTTATTTATTTATTTATTTATTTATTTATTTATTTATTTATTTATTTATTTATTTATTTATTTATTTATTTATTTATTTATTTATTTATTTATTTATTTATTTATTTATTTATTTATTTATTTATTTATTTATTTATTCATTTATTTAGAGAGGTTTTTGCTATAGGGCGCGTGCGCTTACCAGACAGACAGAGAGAGACAGAGAGACAGAAAGCAAGAAATCACCCCCCGGGGGGCTGGCCACGCCGCAATCCCTTCTCCTCCATTCTCCTCTCGGGATCTTGGGCATGCATGCACACACGCCCGGTGTGAGTTTAAGCCACCCGGTCTGGGACTCGAACCGCGGTCGACTACATGGGCGTCCAGCGACGTAGCCATTACGCTAACTGCTGGTCCCATGGCCTTTACCTTATTTAAGCAGTCTCCTTATGGCCAAGTGGCCCAGTGACCCAGTCTCTGGAATAGACAACTATCAGGGTTGGAATGACACTACCTCAAAGATTCTGTAGAGATAGCCGATGCATCTTGGAACCTGGTTAGGTGTAACCACTGGCTTCAGAGCACTAACAATGACACACACACATGCAAAATTCACAAGGCATCTCCAGTGTCAGAATGCCAGCCTGTTTTGATAGCTGAATGTGGTCTGAGCTGCAAGGCAGAGGAGTTATTGTTGGAATAGGCTCAGGCTATTAAAAACACCCTGGGTCATGGGGTTGTCAAAGACTAGATCTCAAGTTTATTCAACCCATGATTTGACTCTTCTTTTCACAACATTTCCTAGCTGTTTGACAGAATGAATCAAAGCAAAAGCTTTTGGTGTTTGGCCCATGGTGGAGATGAATTTCAAACATGTGTTGAGTTTCAATGAATAAACCCAGACTTTCCAAATCAAAAGAGACTTGCATTTTCCAGGCATCAAAGAATCACTCACTGCTCACTGTAGATATAAAAGCTTCCCTGCCATTCATGAAGACATATGGGAGGAAGGACTCATTTCGATTCAAAGAACCCAAGATAAACTCATGAACATTTATGGAGCATGTCCCCAGAGCTAGGTGGCATGAGCCACATTGGAATGTTGCCAAGGTATTAGGTTTAGGAGACCCCTTTCTAGGAAGCCCTTTATGATATCCCACTGATTTCCCTACTTTTTGTTCCCATAAGCTCTCATGCTCTGTGCTTGGGTTACTCTTGCTACTAGATTGCAAGCTTAAAGAGAGGCTCTGAGTCTTATCTTGTTATCTCTGAAGTACAGTGAGCACACAATAACCTTTATTGATACTCATCTGACTCTGAGGATATCTGGGTAGAGTTTGGCCTTCTCAGCCACTTAACCACTCAGATTCCAAGCACCCAGGGATGCTTAAGGGAACAAGAGAGGAGATAGGCCCCAGAGAGGATGGATGGTCAATGGGAGCAAGTCTCCATTCATAGCAACTGGGCCCAGGTTCCATGAGGCTGGGCTTAAATACTGTGGGTGAGATCTGGACCAGACCTGCTCTGGAGTCCAAGGTGCAGAATTGCTATATGTACTAAGCTGGGGCCCTATAAGGGGACCATGGCACGGTTGGTTGGAGAAGGGGCTACCACTGTTTGCTGCTATTGAACCTAATAGCGTGGTCCTGCTAACACTGTTGGAAGGTGAATAGAAGCTAGAGGCCTCACAGGAATGCACAAAGCCATGTGGAGAGAGCCCTAGCACTATTGTCATAGTGCTGTATGATCCTGGGCCAGCCCCACACTCATTCTGAGCCTCAGGTTTCTTCATCTGGCTGCGCCTTAGTTTCTTCATCTAACTGAGTTATTTCAAGGACTCCTATGAAATTATCTCCATGAAAATGCCAAAAATGTATGTAAGGCATCTCCAGTGTCTATAAAGAGGACATGGTCAGGTCCTCTGCCTCTTGGCTCATGGGGTCCTGCAGGAAGTGCCTTATCTCATTTTTCATGCAGATGCCATAGTTTCCTACTCTTAGACACCTCCTGCTCTCACTTTCCCTTGGACAGGAGTCCCTTCAGTGAGGCAGTTTCTGTCACCATCCACAGGTTCTCCCAGATCCTCTGCTGTATCTCTGTGGGCCTCTCTTATATCCCTGCCAGCAGCTTTCCTGGAGGGCTCCAGGTTAACATTCAGACCTGCCTGCTGCTGTGGAAGGAGTCCCCATGGACACCTTCCTCCACAGGGGCCCTCTCTTTTTTTGTGGCAGGGTTCAAGGGTGAGAAGGACCACTGGAGGAGCCGGCGCACCATCTGTGTAAAGACCCACGAGAGTGGCAGGAGGGAGATCGAGATGTTTGATTCGGCCATCTTGCTGATCCGGAATCCATACAGGTCCCTGGTGGCTGAGTTTAACAGGAAATGTGCCGGGCACCTGGGCTACGCAGCTGACCGTAACTGGAAGAGCAAAGGTAACAGGAGGCCAGGGGGAGAGGAGGGTGAGGACGCACTGTCAGTGCAGGCTGGATGCCCACAGGGATACAGATCAGTACCCACAGCCCTCCTGAGGGCCTTGTGCTGCTGCTCCTGGGTTTGAGCTCACCTGCTTCCCACCTCACAGTGCCTGCTCAGATCCATACCTCATAGTGTCTTACACGGATTCCAGTTTGATAGCCAGGAATCTCCTCTGTCCCCACCCAGGTAGGGGTGGTCATACTCAGGAACTCACACAAAACTACGAGAAAAGGTCTGGCTTCAGATGCAGATGGTGCTGTTTTGTACCCTCCTCTGCCTTCTGTATAAAGTGAGACAATAGCCTATATCCCAGGGCTGTCAAGGAGTAGATGAGACGATGTGTGTGCAGGGGCGCAGTCAGTGCTCAGCATGCCAGTCTCCTCCAAAGCTGCCATTCACCGACTCTTCAGATTGTTCCAGAGGAATATCACCATCAGCCCTTCTTTCCAGAGAAGCCCAGAGACCATGGCTATGTGGCTTCTCCAGGTGGCCTTGAAGGTGTGTGGCAGAGCCTGGTCTCAAACCTGATGTGTTAGCCTGCTCAAGCTGCCACAACAAAATGCCATAGCCTGGGTGACACAAACACCAGACACTGATTAATTACAGTTCTGGAGGCTGCAAAGTCCAAGGTCAAAGTGTCAGATGATTAGGTTTCTGATGAGGGCTGTCCTCCTGGCTTGCAGATGGCCACCTTCTTGCTGCTTGCTGTGTCCTCTCATGATGGAGAGAGAGAGGGGGAAAGCTCTCTGGTGTTTCTTCTTCTTCTGTTAAATGTTATCTCTTTCTTCCATGAGAAACAGATAGAGCTAGACAGGTACCCTGGCAGGGTTCCTACACTCTGAGTCTATTCTCAGCTGCCCCAGATCGTAACACACATGTGCTTGCCTAGTGAGCTCAGGAAGCTCCCAGGAGGCAAACTCAGCATCTGTCCCATGTGAGCCCAGTTGTACCACTACTTAGCCCCACGTACCTCTTCTTATGAAGTCACTACTCCTATCCTGAGAGCCCCACCCTCATGACTTCATCTGACCCTAATCATCTCCCAAAGGGCCCATCTCCAAATACCATCACAATGGGAGCTAGGGCTTCAACACAGGGATTTTGTGAGGATGCCGATGTTCAGGTCATATTGGCTTGCTTCCCAATACAGCTGGGTTTGTTGAGTCAGGCGACTGACCACTTTCTGATGTCCTACTATGTGGTCCAGGGCCCCAGGGGCTTCTGCCCTTGAGGCATGCTAAGTCTAGCTTTTGAGTGATTAAAAAAAAAAATAGAGATACAAGTCTGTGTGATAAGTGATATAAAATTCAGCCAGTTAGAAAGAAGCTGTGTCCGGCAGGGTGAGTGATGAGATGTGATGCTGTGGGGGGTCTTAAAGCCAGGCTAGCTTATGCTTCTGTCCCCTTGTGACTCTGGGTCATCTGAGGCTGCCCGGTGTCCTGGGTTGGCTTCCAGTCCTTCCCTTTCCATATCCCCCTCCATAGAGATAGACTCTAGTAAGGAGTCTAGCACGCTGCGCGCTGGTCTCTTTCTTTCTCTGATGAGCTATGTGATGCCAGGTAACCTATGCATCTTGCTTCTGAACCTCCATTTCCTCACCTTATAAACAAGGATGGTTCCTATCTCATAAGGTCACTACATGGCCTTTGAAGCATAATAGCCCAAGTATGGAAACCATTTTTTGAGATGATTGGCACCTCACCTCCTTCTGAAACTTTAATTTCTTAATTTGCTGGAAAAGAAGTCTCATGGAGCAGACCATCTGCAAAAGTTTGAGGCCACCTCATCTGTGGCCTCACTTTGTGTGTCCTGTCACTCAGTAGAGTCAGAGGTTCAAGGTGACAATCAGATTCATGAGGCACCATGAGAAATCAGACACTATATGCCCTTGGCCCTATTAAAGGACCCCGACAGGAAATCGAGACTGCACCATAGCTTCATCTCACCAGGAAGCCCAGCAGCTCTCCACACCACCTGCTCACACACTAGAAGGGCCATTCTCCATGGGGGATTCTGGGCATGCTGGCCCTCGGCAATGGGCAGTGAGAATCCCAGCTGCTTCCCTTTCCATCACATCAGAGTGCATAGTGGCCGGGGATGAAATCAGGGTGCTGTGATTTATTTGGACAGAGATGCCCTGCCTTGGTTTCCCACTGGTCTCTGATCCCATTTTGTCAAGTAGGCCCCAGACCTGGGACCAACTCCCAACCCTTGCTGTCAAGGTCCAGTCCCAAAGGTCTAGGAATTCATAGTCCACAAGACAGATAACTGGTTCTTGGCACATGGCATCCGCATTTGTCTTAACTTGGTATGTTTCCAAGGAGACAACTGCCGGGGAAAGGCGACTCAAGGTCACCCTCCGCAGGTCCAGGACTCTCCAGAGCCCAGCCTGATGCTAACCCTTCATTCACACGAGGTTACCCAAAGGGTCTTCCTCCTCCCAGGGAGATCCCGGGCAGTGGGCATTGCCAGCTGCTTCCCCTCTGTGAGCCAGTCCAAGGGGTCAGCCACCCCAGCAAAGCTGGCCCCTGACTGCGTCTTTCTTTCCCCATCCCAGAGTGGCCTGACTTTGTCAACAGCTACGCCTCGTGGTGGTCCTCGCACGTCCTGGACTGGCTCAAGTACGGGAAGAGGCTGCTGGTGGTGCACTACGAGGAGCTGCGGCGCAGCCTGGTGCCCACACTGCGGGAGATGGTGACCTTCCTCAATGTGTCCGTGAGCGAGGAGCGGCTGCTCTGCGTGGAGAACAACAAGGAGGGCAGCTTCCGGCGGCGTGGCCGGCGCCCTCACGACCTGGAGCCTTTCACCCCGGAGATGAAGGACTTGATCAATGGCTACATCCGGACAGTGGACAAGGCCCTGCGTGACCACAACTGGGCGGGGCTGCCCAGGGAGTACGTGCCCAGATGATAGGCCCCGGCTGCTCTGCCCGCCCCTACTGGGAGATGCAGCCTTGCCACAGGGCTGCACACCTGCCCCTCTGCCTGGGCTGTGGCCACACTGGGACGTGTAGTCAGCAGGAGGCCCACTGGGTGCTGCTTCACATGCAGGGAGCCCTGGACACACAGCCCACCCAGACAGACACACACAAATGGACACACGCAAATGAGCCCATATGTTCTCAGACACCACTCACGCTCACAGTGCCTGTATTGATGCACCAAAGCCACCCATGCCAGGTGTGCCAGACACACCCAGACCTGCAAATGCAGTCAGCAGGACGCAGCCACACAGAGGCCAAGTTAAGGGCTCCCAGGGGCTGGCTGCTGTCTCTTCCACACAAGGCACATCCCCTGGGCTTTCAGCCCTGGTTTCCTGTGCTCGGCCCCGGCATAGACTTGCTTTCAGGGGCCTTGACTCTGGGAGGCTGGGCTGGATGGGTGTTTTTGCTCTGAGCCGCAAGGACCTTCAGAGTGACATGGGTGGAAATACTTGCTGCTGGGAGGTGCGTGTCTGCCATCCCATAAATGTGTGTGGTGTGATGCCCAGCACCGCAGACTCTGCAGCCTGCCTCTGTCTTCTCTGTGATGGACTGGCTGTCCACCGTCACCCCCACCAATGCATATGCTGATCTCAGGACCAGGCACTACCAGTCTGTGCACCGCCCCACCCCTTCCAACTCATCCTACATCAGAGCTCCTCCCAGGGGAGCATTGGTGCCTGGCTTCTTCCTCTGACTGTCCCCAGGGGAGCTGGGGATTTATACCAGGCCCCAGAAGCAGGCTGTGAGGGTCAAGGGCAGGGCATGGGGAGAAGCCCAGGTCCTAAGGGAATTCATATTCCACTAGGAGGAGGCTGGGATGGGAATGGGGAGGCCCTAGAGTGGAGCATCTTGGAGATCACTGGGACTGACTGCCCCACCATGTTGACAAGCCCCCCGCTCTGTGTGGGGTCTCACACCACAGTCATGAGGACAGAGTGGCTACATGACCCGTCCATGCGAACCTGGAAAGCCCTGGCCACAGTGTCTGCCTGCCCCCGCCCCCAGTTGTCAAGCCCTCTCCGTTCACCCAGCTAATTTCTGCCACTGTTGCTTTGTCACTTGGCCTCTTTGACACTATTTCTGTGAGGCTGACATCTTTCCCACTTGCTCATCCATTTTCTCAACCACAGGGGAAAGGCAGTTACAGATATGGACACTTCCTTTGTGCCAGCCACAGGGAGTAGACAGATGTGAAGGGTCCCCTCTCCCCCTCCAGCTCAGGGTCTAGTGGAGCAGGGGAGGGGCTGTTATAGTGGCCATGAGAAACTCCCTAACAGAGGAGTCTGTGTGCTGTGCAGGGCCCCAAGGGGGGTCAGCTGACATGCCCAAGGTCATCACAGTGGCTTTACACTGGTTCTGAGGAATCTGTAGTGTTGTCCCAGCAAGGCAAGGGAAGGGTAGAGAGAAGAGCATGTGTGACGACTCAGAGGCTTGGGAAACCCAGGTGTGATTGCAGAGTAGGCAGTTGAGTATTCAGCATGTCTGTCTGTGTCTACCCAAGGGGAGGAGGAGAGTGGGTGGGTGAGGACAGAGGTAGGGCACAGAAAAGGGGAGAAGTATGATGCTATTGACTTTCTCAGGTCACCCTCTGATACATATCTTGGGCTCAGAACTGAAGCTGCAGAGACTAGGTTGGGAAGGTGAGGGTGCAATCTGAGAGCAAGGCTCTGGGGCCAAAATGTAAGAGGGATTCTAGGGCCAGGTTATATACCAGCCCTTGGGAAGGGGGAAAGATGGGCAGGGCCCTCCATGGATTCTCTAGTCTTGGGGTAACCCTGGCTAGGCTCCTTGGTCCTGCCCTAGAACAGCCATCAGAGAGACTCGGTCTAAGTGGGAGCAGAAAATAAGGTGAGGGTTCGGAAGAACTGGGCATCAGAGTGCCCTGACCCCCAATTGTCCTGAGAGCCGTACTCCATGAGCACAGAGAGAGATAGGACCCAGGGGAGCCCCCTGCTGCCTATCTTCAATTTGGCCAGTGGGTAGGTTTGAGCATCTGTGTTCCTGGTGGTCTCCAAGTCCTTCCTGGAATTCTCCCAAAACCCACACTGATGTGAAGCTGTTCTTGACCTGCCTATAATATCACTTAGTTCGGTTCAGAACAGGGAAGGCCAAGGCCTTTGTTAACGTTCACTGGTACGGGATGACTCCACAGTCCAATCTGCGAAGGTCCTCATTGAGGCTGTTTCTCCTGAGTTGTAGCATGGAAATTCCTCAGGAATTAGAAGGGAAGTCAGGACACACATGTACCCCAGAACAATTTTTAAAAGACACAGAAGAACACCAGAAAGGGCCAAGGTGTGGAGAGAGGACTATAGCCAGGCATGACCACTGGGCTCCCTACCACCCCAGGAGTCTGGGGAGAGCAACAGCTCTCTTCACATGGTTGCACTGGTGCATTCATGGAGGCCAGGTGCTCAGAGCCTTCATCTTCTAGGTGGAATGTGCCTGCTCCCGTGGCCTGGTACTTTACAGCCTAGCTAGGAGTACAGGTGAGTAGAATGATAAGTGTCAGGGCCCATCCGGTTCACGCTGAGGCACCTCACACTTGGCAGGTGCTTCCAGATGTTGTATGAGCAAGGTGCAGAGGCTCTTGCAGCTGCTACCGCTCTCCTGCACCCTTCATCCCAGGTCTGCCTCTGTAGGCAACCTCATCAGAAACAGGAAATGCGGGCTCTGTCTTTCCTCTGGGCAAAGTCCATTTGTTTAAGGTAAGTCTCATTGACAGATTCTTGGCTTCTCAGTGAAGAAAATAATGTCTCAACCAGCCAAGGGGAGTAAGAGCTGATCTTACATGGGGCAGCAGTGTAAATGCATCAGGAACCAATTAAAACACAAGAACCAAACCTGGTCTATAGATCCCATCTCTAATAGCAAGGCTATGGAGTTACCCAAACCTGTGTTAAAACATGTCATTTTTGTGGATTTCATCTCCTGTTGTGGATCAATTTGGAAAACCAAAATATATCATTTTTAAAAACTAAAACACATTCTGATCATCCCAGTGATGTGTAAATGAGAGAAAAGAATAGACAGACTTCCAAACCCTAGGAAGAAAACTGCTTAATTATGTGAGCATCTTATAATGAAGTCTCTTGCAGCTAAAATTAGATTTTGAGTGCATGAATATGCGATCATGTTTGTACATCAGAATGCATGTTTTTTCTTAAAAGTAGCAAGAGCTACTTGGTTCTTAGTGGGCCCCAAGAGGGAAGGAGGTTGATTGTTGTGGCTGCAAGAATTCTTGGGGCACAAGTGTGTTTTCTTTTTGCTGGAAGCTCCTTGGAGGTGTTTGAAGTGTGGTACTCCAAAGGGATTCATTTAAATTTGGGGAGAAACTGGTCTGACCTCACACTGACTTCCTGAGTCAATATTGGGTGAGTTGGCCTGAATAAAGTAGAAATAATATGAGGTGTCTTCAGAAGTTCATGAAAAATAAATATCATTTAAAAAAATGTATGGATTTCAAAATATTTTGGACCAGGGACCAGCAGTTAGCGTAATGGCTATGTCGCTGGACTCCCACGTAGTCGACCACGGTTCAAGTCCCAGACCCGGTGGCTTAAACTCACGCCGGGCGCGTGTGCTGTGTGCCCAAGATCCCAAGAGGAGAATGGAGGAGAAGGGATTGCGGCATGGCCATCCCCCCTGGGGGGTGATTTCTCGCTTTCTATCTCTCTGTCTCTCTCTGTCTGTCTGGCGAGCGCACGCGCCCTATAGCAAAAACCTCTCCAAAAAAAAAAAAGAAAACAAAATTGGATCCCAAAAAATTTAAACTTTATTTGCATTTTTGTGGACTTTTTGAAGCTCTCCTCATACAGGGTCTTCATACTGAAAGGTTGGGTTGTAGTCCCAGCTCTGCTGTCAGCTTGGACAGGCCTTTTCCATCTCTGGTCTCAATTTCCCATTCATAAAATGAGGGACATGAAGGATGTTGTTTGTATCTCCAGCTTCCCTTCCCTTTCCCAGGAACCCCTCGTTCTCTTTGGCAGTTCACATGATCTGGCAGAGCTGGCTTTGTCTTTACTTCCAGGGCTGGCTCTCCTGTCCTGGACTGAGCCACCAGCACATTCCTTCTCTAGCTACAGTGATGGTTCAGGTCTGGTCCTAGGAGCTAAGGCAATGCAGCCAGATGAACTTTAAGATATTTTCTGGGAATGTCAGGTAGAAACTCTGAATCCCCCCTGCTGGATGTGAAAGAGGAAGTATGGGGTCTCAGCGGTGGTTATCTTGGGACCATAAGGGGAAATCACTCTCAGCATGAAGGTTATGCATGAAAAAGAGTCAAGAGGCACAAAGAAACCAGTTCCTTGGTGCCATTTTAAGTACAGGATCAATCTTTGCCTAAAATTGGCCCTACTGCTGGACTCTTTGTTACACAAGCCAATACAGTGACTATTATTTTAGTGGACCAAGTTGGGTTTCCATAACTTACAACACAGGGCATAGTGCAAAAGGCTTGAATCGAAAGGCCCTGGGGCTGCGATTCTCTGTCTCAGTGGCTGAAGTAGATAAAGCCTGAAACTCAAACCAATGTGAGCTGGTAAGGTTTGAAAGTTCCTTTTCATAGGAATGGAGCTGAGTGTGAAATGCTCAGTCAGCCAAGACAAGTAACATTTTCAAGTTAGACAGCCTTAGAAAATAATTCTTCTTGAGTGTCCAGTCCAAACTATCAGTTTTCTCATTTAATCTTTAACTAACCCTCTGGTATGGTCATTATTAGATAATTATCTTCGATAGATGAGAGAACTGGGATGTCAACCTGTAATGATGGCAAAAGTGTGGCTTCTTAATATTTACCGTAATCCCTTTCGTAGAGGATATGATGTAGGTTGGAAGGAATTACTTACTAACTCCCTTCAAGGGACATGTTTGATTAACAGCAGACAGACAATAAGGGCCTTCTAAGAAGGGTAGGTATGATGAACTATTCAGCTTTGATTTTGCTGAGTGGGACATGTAAGCATGGGGCAGAGCACAGTTGCTGCCATTGGAAGAGTGGTGGGGTGATGCCACTGAGAGTTCCTTTTCTCTGTCCTTCCCTCTGTAATCCTACCGTGTACCCGAAATTAGAAAAGTGAGTCACATGTGTCATTTGTTTTCCAGCTCTCCTTGGAATGCCTGACTACCATACCATATGCCAGGATGGAGATCTGTACACTATGTAAAGGGGTCAGCCGGTGGAAATCCAATGCTTTACAAGTCTGGCCTATATGGGTACATGTCCAGAGATGTCCCTGAGTGTGTCAGGGGTGTGTGTGCCCATTGTCCGGGGTTAGCTAAGGAGGGGGTTGATTGTAATGTGAAGACCTTGTCGCAGGTGCTGTCTCTCTCTCTCTTCTTTCTCATTCACGGAGGAAATAAATAAGCTTTAAAAAAATATTAGGGAAAAAGCAAGGGTTCTGGGAAGTCAGTGTCAGTGTATTTACCCACCGTGATTCCTTTTATGACTGAAGATAGATTTGGGTCCCTCCTGAAATCTTTCACCACACCAAAATACAGGTCCTTGCTGTGGGAAATCAGAACATACCCACCCTAAGTTGTAAGCATAATAGCTTACATAAAATGAAGACCTCGCTGTCAAACAAAAATATACAGAGTTCTGATTGATACTCTAAGCACAAGTATGAGCCGAGTAAATTAAATACCCAAGGTGTCATAGTTGGGATGTTTGAGGGGACTTCAGACATTTGCAGTGACGGACTCACGGCTTGATGATCAATATGGCCAATGATGATCAATAATAGAGGTGAGAAGAAGAAAAAAATAGGATTTTAATACTGAGTTGCCAAAGTTTAGCCCTTTTATTTTTTTAAGAATTATTTTATTTGGGGCCAGCAGGTTGGTGTGGTGGTTAGGGGGGCTGGATTCCCACATGGCCGACTGCGGTTCAAGTTCTCACTTTCACTCTCTTTCTCTCTCTGATCAAACTGGAAAATAATAATAATGATAAATAAAGTTAAATAAAAAATAATTCTTCAAAAGAAATTCTTAAAAAGAAGAATTATTTCATTTAACTTTATTTATTTACTTATTTTAATTTGATCAGAGAGGGACAGAGTGAGAATGAGAGAGAGAGAGAGAAAGTGAGAAAGCAAGTTGCCAGTTCTGGCACTCAAACTGTGATCAGCCCTGTGGGAGTCTCGCATCCTTAACCACCATGCCGCCAGCCAGCTCCTAGCCCCTTTATTTTTACAGGAGAGAAAAATGAGAATCTGTAGGGGAAAGGATTTCCTTTGAGCTCACGTCTGTGAGAATGCATGCTGGAGCTAGGACAGGAACATGAGCTCTTTCCACGAAACCACCTGATTGCCCCAAAACTGCATCCCATAACGCTTCAAGAAGTTGCTGGAAATGAGACAAAAAAAAAAAAAGTGAGCATTTGACTCATGTGAATGTGACTCTTATTCATTTTACTGCTAGTTCTTTGCCAGGATACTTCTTGGTGGACACCAAAGTTCACTTTCAAGGGCCACTTATCACGCATTCTCATACCTGAGAACCTGCTCAGAGAAAGTATCCCTTTCTGAAGAAGCGAAGTCATAGAGATGGACCATGGCTTGCCTTAAGATAGGAACCCTGAGTTTGCATTCTAAGTCACAAACATCCCAAGCAGCAGAAAGGTCCTGTTATTCCAAGACATTAATAGAGATGCGTCTTTGGTGGAACTGAGCCCAGCAGTGTGCATGTGTGTGTGTGAGTGTGTGCACATTGCATATGTGCACAAGTGTGTAAGCAGGTGTGAGTTCAAGTTCCTAACAGACAACTGTCCCTCTGAATCATGTGCCAGCCACTCAGCATTACAAGTGACAAGAGCCTGGTTGCTTGGGCTTCGGCATCAACTCACCTGGACAACTCTTTCTCTCATAGTCATGTGTACTATGTCCAGGTGACAGGAATCTCTGCCCACTTTGTCCATGTGACCCTAAGGCCATTTTCTGCTCCCAAATTCCACCAACTCTCATACATGAGTAGGAGTCTGGGAGGAAGCCCAGAAGAAACAGAGTAGTGGTACTGAGATACTTCCCATCCTCCAGCCATCCAATTATACCATGGAATTGCCGAAGCTGAAATCCTACCTCACTGAAATCACCTGTATTCATTTTCTATTGACACATAGCAAATGACCACAAACTGGACAACTTAAAACATACATTTATAATCTCACAGTTTCCGTGGCGCAGGGGTCTGGGCAGGCTTTGTGAGGTTCTCCGTTGCAGGATCTCACCAGGCTGAAATCAAGGTATCAGCCAGGCTACTTTTCACCCGGAGATATGATGGGAAGAGCCCATTTCCAAGTTCCCTCAGGTTGTTGGCAGAATTAATTTGCTTGTGGTTGTATGACTGAGGTTTTCAGCCACTATAGGCATCCCACCACTCCTTGACATGAGAGCCTCTCCATAGGCAGTTTGCTCCATGGCCTCTTAAAGGCCAGTCAGGGGGTGAGACAGCCTTACATATCTCATGTAAGCACGGGAATGGCATCTCTTCACTTTTGCTTTGCTCTGTGGGTTTGAAGCAAGGCACAGCCCTGGCCACATTTGAGAGGAAAGGATTATGCAAAGATGTAGACACCAGGAGGTGAGGGGGACCATGGGGAATCACCTTCAGATCTATCCACCACAACAGATAAGGAAAATGTCCAGAAGTCAGTACATTCTGTTTTTTTTTTTTTTTTTTTTTTTTTTTTTTTTTTTTTTTTTTTCAATGGGCGATTTCTTCGC